GGGCAGGGCCGCATCCATCGGTCGCAACAGCCTCGAAGCTGACCTGGGCAAAGTCGACACAGCCGGCATCCGCGGTCTTATCCACAAGGCCTTCACTTGAAATCTCGGGTGGCGTAGTGTCGCCTGCGACCGTCACTTGAAACGTCATGGGAGTTGCGGCATTGCCCGCGGAATCCTCTGCGGTGCAGGTGACGGTCGTGTTGCCCACGGGAAACAAACTGCCCGACGGAGGGATGCAAGTGGGAGTGAGAGAGTCGCAGTTATCGGTCGCCTGAACCTCGAAGACTACCTGGGCAGTCTCTCCGCACGTTGTCACCTCGATGACGTCCTCGAAGTTTTTGGTCAAGACTGGGAGCTCTGTGTCCTTCACCACAATAATCTCGAAGTTCTCCGTGGCAGTGTTGCCCGACACATCTGTTGCGGTGCACTGCACTGTGGTGCTCCCAACAGGGAAGAGACTCAGGGAGGGAGGGGTGCAAGTGACATGGGCAGGGCCGCATCCATCGGTCGCATTGGCCTCGAAGCTGACCTGGGCAAAGTCGACACAGCCGGCATCCGCGGTCTTATCCACAAGGGCCGGGTCAAAGACCGGCGGGGTGGTGTCGCCGCCGGTCACGGTCACGTCAAAGTTTGCCTTGGCGGTGTTGCCCGAAGGATCTGCTGCCGTGCATTCCACGGGAGTGCTTCCAAGCTGAAATGAAGATCCAGAGGTAGGAATGCAAAGGACATTGACGGGCTGGCACTCATCGGTGAACGTTGCATCAAAGTTGACCTGGGCACTGTCACCGCAGCTGCCAGCATCGCCGGTGGGATTGACGGGCGATACCACCGGGGATCCAGGTGGCGTAGTGTCGCCTGCGACCGTCACTTGAAACGTCATGGGAGTTGCGGAATTGCCCGCGGAATCCTCTGCGGTGCAGGTGACGGTCGTGGTGCCCACGGGAAACAAACTGCCCGACGGAGGGATGCAAGTGGGAGTGAGAGAGTCGCAGTTATCGGTCGCCTGAACCTCGAAGACTACCTGGGCAATCTCTCCGCACGTTGTCACCTCGATGAGGTCCTCGAAGTTGTTGGTCAAGACTGGGAGCTCTGTGTCCTTCACCTCCGTCTCGAAGCTGGCATGGTAGCCATCCGAGCCTTGGCACTGGATTTGGTGTATGCCCACTGGCAACGGCGCTGAGGGGCTGCACGTGTAGGTAACACCTGGGATGCACGTGTCCACGAAAGGGGCCTGAGACGAGGAACATAGATTCACGTCGGTGGAGAGCTCCTTGTTGACGGTGGCTGCGCACGTCGCCAGCTCATCCACCAAGACGTTGTTGTTTCGGTTTTCGATGCTCACGAAGGCTGTGCCTGACGGGGAGATCACACCATCAACACGGGAGAAGTCTGCACCGAGAGTACCCCTCAGGTTCCCGGAGGCATCGTAGACCCGGGCGACCACCCAATGTGTTGACAGAACTTGGATCAACAGCCGATGCCACGAGTTCGCGATGGAGTAGATACTGCGACCGGCTACACCTCTTAAGGCCCAGTTGCGTCGATCAAAGAAGTCCATCTGGAGGCGGCAGCTGCCGGAGGCGTGGCAAACCTGGTACAATCGAAGGGTTTTGCTTCCCGACAGGGCAGGATCCGTGTCAAAGCCAAGATTGACGATGTCGGAAATGGGCGACGGTGCAGGCGTCCGGATCCAGACCTGCAGCGTGGTGCCCACGCTGCTCGTGATAGGGAACTCTGGCGATCTCCAAATGGCACCATTGAGCACCGAGCCGAGGCTTCTCGCCGTGCCATCCGCGCCGAGATTGCGAAGCGTCCCTCTGCCACTAGGATTAGGGGACAGGTAGGCGATCTTCAATCCATCGGGCTCGGGCCAGGCGCGGCCTTCAAAGCTCTCGAAGACCACGTAGTTCAAGGCCGCAGTTCGGGCCGAGCTGCTCCCGGCCATGGCCAAGGCCAGGGAAGGCGCCTCCGGTGTCGGCTGTCCCGGCACAGCCTCCACCTCCCCACCGACGTCCAGCTTGAAGCCCTCGAGGATACCTTCGATGACGCTGTCCGGGCACGCCAGCGTGAAGTAGTGGATGTAGCCTGCCGGATCTTCTTCTCCCGCTGCATTGCTGTAGCAGTCGTCGGTGGTCCCCATCTCCGTCCGAGCCAGGGTGACATTCGACATGTTCGAGGCGTCGACCACCACACAGCAGCCCTGAACCATCGAAAGACCCACCAGGCGAGCTTGACGCTTCTGGAGCTGGAGGAGTCCAGTCGTCTCGTTCCCGTCACACTTGCCTGGGATGTCACATGTGCTGGTCCCTGCAGCAAGATTGACCACCAGAAGGCGCAGACATGCCGAGATGAGCATTTTGCTTGGCTACACTGGCCTGACCTGCGTCCGACTACGGATTTTGCGAGCTTGAGTTTGAGCCGTTCACTAGCAGAAAAGCCAGGCAACAGCTGTGCCGGAGGCTGTTGCAACCTTCTGCCAACAGCAAAGCACACCGTCGCAGCTCAGTCTAGCCTCCGTTCAAGCTACAGGCTCTGTAAAGAGCTCCGCGATCCAAGTCCTGTGGCCACCCAAACCCTAAAACCCTAAACCCTACACGCAGGACTGTTCCCCAAAGGTCCTCTGCCCCCCCTCAACAGATTTACATGAAATGCAAGCGTCCCAAAGAGACATAGAAAGACGACCTTCGCCACATCCTACCAGCGCCCCCCCTCCCCCGCCACCGATCTCCCCTAAAAAACAAACCCCAATTCTCCAGGCCCCGCCTTTGGGCTGGCGACCATCCTGGCAAGTCCTGAGAGGTGAGGCATCATAGATGTGTCGGCACATAAACATACCTAGAAGTATGCCTCTAGTATGTATATATATATATATATACATATATATTTGCATATACATACATGCATGCATACATGCATCCAAACAAATTTCGTACATATAGGTACACATACAATGGCTATGAGAATCCGAGCAAGTCCGGACATGCTTTGCCCCCTGGGCCCCCGACACTGCGTCTTGTGCTGTAGCCCTTGAGGCCATCGGCTGCTTAGGGAGGAGGCCGAACACCTGACCCTTAGCCCTGAAACCCCTGGTGCAGGGACCTGATTGAGAAACCTCGGGACTTTATTAGGGTTGAGGGTTTGGGGGGTTTGGGGGGTTTGGGGGTTTAGGGTTTAGGGTTTAGGGTTTAGGGTTTAGGGTTTAGGGGGTTTAGGGTTGATTAGGGCTTCTTTTTATGGATCCTAATATCTGGCAACTTCTAGGACCAGGGTTTCTTAATCAGGCTCCTACACTAAACCCTAAGCCCTGCACCAAAACCCTAAACCCTAAACCCTAAACCCTAAACCCCCCTGACACCGTAGCTCTTCCAGGCTTGAGCCGGCTGGCGAAGTCTTCAGGGTTTTTTTGGCTTCGGGCTTGTTGGGTTTCGGTTTTTGAAAGTTTAGAGTTTAGGGCTTCTTGGGTTTCGGGTTTAAGGCTTCTTGCTTTGGGGCCTGAGGCTTGCGAAGTTTAGGGTTCAGGGTGTAGGCCTCGATGCGACCAGAACTGCTGGAACTGCGTATCCGCAGCTTCTTCCGTCCGAGCGGTGGCTTTTGTCGCGTGAAGATGGGAGAGGGTACAGAACCCATAACCGCGCCATATCCATGGCAGCGACAGGCCACTGAGGTCGTCGCCACGAAAGACTGTGGGAGGTCCCCGGAAAGATCTCAAAGCAGATCTACCGGTTTAGGAACCCACCTAAGAGGGATCCACTTGTTGGGTCCTCCCTGCCGGGCAATCCTCTGACGCTATACCCACACCCGATGCAAAGATCCAGAAACGAACCTTCTTATCTTCTTTCCCTGGAGCCGCGCCACTTAAGTCTCCTGAGCTCTTCTAAACCAACCCCTAAACCCTAAACCCAACAACACGGAAACCCCAGCAACCGTCTAACCCCAAACCCCAAAGCTTAAGCTTTGCTGCCTTCTAGGTTCGAAGCCTGGCAAGAGACCCGCCTTCATAGGACCCTGGGTTGGGATAAAAGCTTTTAGGGTTTGGGGTATGGGGTTTAGGGCTTGGAGTTTAGAGTTTAGGGGTTTAGGGTCTAGGGTTTAATACATATCATGAAAAGCTCGGAAACAGAAGCAGCGCCCCTTCAGGGAGCTGCTAAAACTCTGATCAGCACTCGGCTGCACGCGTGGCATGGTGGCCGCGTATGGCTTCCTGTAGGGCCCATGTCTTTAAGTTCGCCTCAGGATGCAGAGATGTTGAAGTCCTCGGAAAGCGTCACGGCCACAACAATAAGGGCAGCCAGGGTGAACACTGAGGCAATGTACATCGGAAGGTAGACGATGCCTTGCCGAGCGATGTAAGACCCTCAACCGATCAAGCTGCCCGTAGTCGTCGTCGTCGACGTCGCCGACGTCGTAGTAGTAGCAGGAGCAGGAGCAGNNAGGCGCAGGCGCAGGAGCAGGAGCAGGAGCAGGAGCAGGAGCAGGAGCAGGAGCAGGAGTAGGAGTAGGAGTAGGAGTAGGAGTAGGAGTAGGAGTAGGAGTAGGAGTAGGAGCAGGAGTAAGAGTAGCACAGCCGTGGCCGCTGGTGTGTGTAGTAGTGGTGGTAGGTAGTGGTAGTAGTTGTTGTCGTCGTCGTTGCAATGGCAGCGGCTACTACCACTCACCACGAGGGCACTACTCAGACTAAGGATGTGATAGCTCTGACCTCGCAAATTAGTGCCACCACGACCATGAAACAAAAAGTCCAGGCTGCTCATCTGCCCCGCTTGTTTCTGTAAACCAGCTGAAACCAGGAGTGCCAGGGCGGTCTGTGCCGACGGCACTCCAGTTTGGATCACCAAGACCATGAACAGCATGGGCTGATCCTCTGGGAGGGCCCCGACGTTCACCGCAAGAACAAGCAAAGGGATCGAGATGGCTGGCATCAGCAGCAGCTTGATGAAGGCCGCACCCACAGAGAGCCGCAACAACTGCGAGCCTTCTGAGTCTTCCTCAGAAGCCTCAGGCCTCTCTTCCAAATCTGAGGCGGCCGGGGCCTTCGCCTTCGCCCCACGCCTCCTCTGGATCTCAGCCCTGGCTCCCACGTACAGCGAGCCCCCTAGGATCATCGTTGAGAGTGGGACCCCAGCGGGCCCAAAGTTGGAAGCAAAGGAACCGACAAAGCGCAGCGGACCCTCGGCTCGATCGCTTAGAAAGTCTCGTAGGGGAGCCGCGCATCCCACGGCGATGCCCGCCAAAGCACACCAGACGACGCTGTCCACGGCCCGCAGCTTACGGAGGATGCCTTCGGCTTCGGCTTCGGAGTCTGCCGTCCCCGTCCCTGTCGGCTTCATTGAAAGAGCGTAGGGCCGGCCCAGGAAGAAGAGCGCCATCGTCCAGACCGTGGCGAAGGAGATGACGGCAAAGCCTTCCGCCAGGGCATCCTCCGGGTTCCCATTCACTCGTTTCCAGTTACTCACGATCGGAGGTAGCAACACATAGGGCAGAGCTCCACAGTTCCCGAAGGTCGTGCTGAGAATCAGGATTTTCGAGTAGGGCGGCCGCAAGCGTAAGATGAAAGCGCCCAGCTGCCCCATCAGCGCGCCGATGATCATCACGATGGCAGAGCCCACACAAGCCATATACCATTTCCTGGGCTCTTGTTCAGGAGCTCCATTGAAGTGACCATAATGGGAATCTATAGTTATCATCGTAAGTAAAAGGCTTCCTTATTATGGCAGTTTAAACCAAGTTCCTTGTCAACTTGTTGCGGTAATACAGATTCTTACCGTAACTTAAATTCGATGCCTTACTACGGCGGTGATATAAACTATAGTCCTTGTTATTGTTTTGTTTTTTCCACACCTAACTAGTTACTTAAACCCTAAAACCCTCAACCCTAGACCCTAAACCCTAAACCCTAAACCCTAAAACCTTAAACCCTCGGCCCTAAACCCCAACAGGCGCCCAGTTTCCCCAGCATCTCGACAGAGTAGACCCTGAAGTTGGAGAACGCGAACACTGGAAAGAATACCTCCGGGTTCAGGGTTTAGGGATTAAGGTTCAGGGTTTAGGGTTTAGGGTTCAGGGTTTGGGGTTTAAGGTTTAGGGTTCAGGGTTTAGGATTTAGGGTTCAGGGTTTGGGGTTTAGGGTTTAGGACTTTGGGGAACATCCTTTATAAGCTGGAAGCTATGTACTATCACATGCTGCATCTTTTCTACTATATACTCTATACAGTCTATACTATATGCTATATGGGTGGTTGTCAAAATTATGGTCCCTTTTTGGGTCCTTCTTATAATACGGCACCTATTATTTATGGTACCCCAAAAGGGACCCTAATTTTGACAACTACCCATATGTTATATACCATAGTCCCCAAGCCTCTGCGACCCTGGACTTCAGATCCGGAAACCCTTCACAGAAACCCCGAACCAAAAAAATGATGATCCCTTAAGAGGAGCCCTAAACGCTGAATCGACGTCCTAAGCCCTACATCCCAAACCCTGAGCCCTAAATCCTAAAACCTAAACCCTAAACCCTAAACCCTAAATCCCAAACCCTAAAGCCCTAAATCCCCAAACCCTACGCCTCCAGGAGGACCTTGGAGAAGCTCTTCAAGTCAGGAGGAGCTACGATCTGCCTTGGGCTTAGGATTTTTCGGGTTTTAGGGTTTTCGGGTTTCGGGGTTTAGGGTTTAGGGTTTTAGGGTTTAGGGTTTAGGGTTTAGGGTTTAGGAATTTAGGGTTTAAGGGTTTAGGGTTTAGGGTTTAGGGCTCAGGGAGTTTCAAGGGTCTGGGAGGAGGGTTTCGGGTTTAGAGATCAGTTCGGGTTTAGGATGTGGGATGGAGCTTCAGGAGCAGAGGGTGGAGGTTCAAGGCTGAGGGTCCAGGACTAACAAAGGTTTGAGATGGAAGGTTGTCTTCGTGAAAAGACGTGCAAGTACTGAGCGTCGGGATTGCGGCTTCGAAGGGGGTCTTTGATAGCCAAAGTTTAGCATTGAGGACGGAAAATCGGGTTGGTCCGAGGCCCTGAGGAAATGAGCGAGACAACCAAAATCACGGCTGAGTTCGATCCCAAGAGAGCGTAGGAGCGAGTTGTGCATCATCGCCCGAAGCTTTAGTGTAGTTAATGAAACTTCTAATTCATCGGAGCAACTTGTGCATCGCATAAGCACCAGCGCAACAGATCAGAAGCGCCTCCGAATTTGCATAAACTGAGACCAGAATCGCCTCTGTGAAAAGCGTCATGGCCCAGATACATAAGATGCCACGAGGCAGCCACCTATCAACCTTTTGCTGCAGCAACACGTCGATGTCACATGTGTCTGTCAAGCAAAACCTGTGCAATCTGCGCAATTTGGATATCGAACTTCCAAGTTTTTGCTATTGTCCTTGCATGCTGGCTAACCGAAAACCACTGAATGTGTCATAATGATTGTCCTGTGCTGCAGCCAATCATGCGACGTGATGACACAAACTTTCACACACTCGACACCACTACACGTGTGCAACAACTTAAAGATAATAAGTTGGAGGATTTTGGCACACAAATGCGTGTTGCATTAATGCTGAAACCGGGCCAGCAGCAAAGATGCAAAGTGTTCTGTCAGGCGCATAACCATGCTTATGTGCTGGGATGTTGACGACTACGAAGCACAAGGTTAAGTTTGCCCATCGCACATTGCGCCAACCGATGTTGGTTGTGAAATGTGAAATGTCTTTGCTTTTTGACGAAACCTGTTCTTGTTTGTGTCTGTGTGTGTGTGTGTGTCTGTCTGTGTTTGCTTTGGTGTGTCTGTCTTTCATAGTTTCTCTCGTTGGCCCAAGCATGTCTCTCCCGAAACTGGTGCAAGTCATCAACGCCCGTGTACGAAATCCGAATGAATGCTCAACCCTGTGAAATCTTGCGACGTTCTCTAGGTTTACACTGCTGCAGGCAAACCGGAAAGAAGCAGTGCAGCGCTCACTTCTTTTTTTCCCGCAGAGGTTGCTGTGTCTGTGCTGTGCGATGTGCGCACTAGAAGTAAGCCGGGCAATGCGTGCCGAGCAAATACCCCCCAAGGGTGTGGAGGGTGGGTGAGAAATTTTTCTCCTGCAGGGCTGCGAGCCCTGAGTATGTTGTGTTTCCTAGGTTCGAGCCACGCATTGCCGGGCGGTGCAAATTGTGCCTTCGTGAGAACCTAAAAAAAACACTGCTGACTAAAAAAACAAACGCACAACGAGCATCACGACCACGACAACAATGAGAACAACAACCGCGGGATGCGTGTGTTGGATGCGCGGACCATCCATTCAATTTGCAATCTCGTATTGGAAACCTATCTGCTGTCCTCGCCTGTCCAGCACCGCTGCCTAACAGTCACAATTGGGGGGATCCTCAAGCCAAGTTCCTTAAAGCCCTGGAGAAGGTTAAAAACACCTTAAAAACACAGTGAGAACAGACTAGAGCTTCACCCCGTTTTTTCCACAAAGGGTGCTCCGATGCCATGCTTCGCGCAGCATTGTGGGTTTTTTGGGCGGCCCTATGCAAAGCTCTCGCATGTCCCTGTACTCACTGTGAGTAGGAAAAAGAAGGCTGAGGACCTGAGGAGCTTCTTGCACGTTGGTAACACCACCAGCTTGTTCCAGACTGGACGGTTTACTGCCAGTGTGTGAAGTTGCAAGAAGGCGTAGGGAAAAGCACGGGACAAGGTAGTAAGGGCATGTGGGGTGGGGCCATTTTAAGCCTAGACCTGAAGCAAGCCTTTGACAGGGTTACCAGACAAGCTTTGGACACGGCACGCAGCGCCTAGGGCCCCACCTGATTTGGTAGCCGCGGTAGTGGCCCTACATGCGACCTCCTCCTATCACATCCAGGATGCGTATCATGACACAGAAGTGTTGACTACAAGAGGTATAAGACAGGGTTGTAAATTGGCCCCCATGTTTTGGGTTGCCATCTCCACAGACAAGGAACAACCTTTGCTGACGACACACTGTGCCAATGGTTAATTGAAAGCCCACACGACATACAGGCCCTAGCCGGGTTTCTCAACAAGCTGCTGCAAGTCATGGAAGATCTAGGCCTGCTTGTGAACTTGACGAAGACATTCCATCTTCTGAGAGTGCGAGGACCGGGGGCGAAAGTCCTCCGACAGCACATTGTCTACAAGGAAGGCCAAAAATGGTGGAGGGTGGACCGACCAAACGGCCCCGCACTGATCCCGTGAGCCACATCGGTTATCTACTTGGGCACCCACCTCGCCATTGACGAGTCACACCTCCCGGTGGTTCGGCATAGGATCACAGAGGCCAAAGCGCGAGACTCCAAAACACGCAGAGCAACCTGCTCCCGCAGACTGTTTAGCCTGGGGCATTGATTTCGAGTATGGCAAGCATGCTTGGTGTCCAGTGCCACATTTGGACTGGCACCCATTGGCCTCAGCTATGCCTCTGCCACGCTGCTGCAGCAGTGTTACTACAGACGTCTTAAGGCAGTAGTAAACGCGCCTGCCCATTTGACTCATGAATCAAATACGGCCCTGCGACAAAAATACGGAATCTCAGATCTAGTCGACGCCCTGGCGAACAGTGTGGCACACAAGATACAGAAGCTTCAACAATCGGAGCCTGATACACAAAAACCCAACAAATCATCACATACTGGCAGAACATCCACAGCACCATCAAAGACTTCACCACCTCACAGCTTCCATCACAATCATTAGTCCCGACAGGCACCGCTGCGCAGAGCATCCCATGTCCCGAGTCTGGCATATACTTCACTACCTCGAAGTCATTACGTCAACACCGTGCCCTCCGGCATAAGATCCATGTGACTGCTAGCCAGGAGGAAACCAAACAATACCAGCAGCATGAACATAGCCTCAATGGTATGCCTCAATGCAAACACTGCCACAAACAACTTCAATCATGGGGTGCACTCAAGCAACACATTCTCACTTTTGCCTGTAGACTTGAGCTGCGCCAGTCTAAGACCACTACATCTACGAGTTCTGCGCCAGAGACCAGCATACCAGCTGCTGATCGCCGGCCCCCTCGGGGGAAGCCGAACTACGGCCCTGCCGGGAGGCACCAAGCGATGAGGCAGACTTGCGGCTTTTCCCAATAAGCACAAGCTTGCACTGCACTGCCACAGGCACCTATTGCCCGGTAATCCAATCTCCGCATCTCAGCATCCGAGAGAGGGCCCAGTTTGGGCAGTTCCTAAAGCGTTCTTCCTCCGGAAGAAAGTCTGCTGTCGAGACTCTCGCCTTCTACCTTGGCCATGTTAAGTCCCGAAAGCATTTGTCACCACAATTTGAGCGTTCAGGCTAAGTGTTTTTCGTTCTGAAGGCATTCCAGCGGGGCCTCCATGCGCAAACTAAGCTACAGGCCTGACGGTGCTTGGAGAGGAAGTCACGGCCAAGCAAGATGTAGAAGGCTTGAACATGTGGTTTCGCCATGTTGAGAGGGCTCGAGGGATGAACGTGCGCCGTTTCTGATTGCACGCTGCTGTTATCGTATCCGGCAGGCACACTCCTCCGATTACTATCGGGACGTTTCGACCCGACCATTGACGGTGATTGCTTCGCAATCGCCCTCCATACTGCCATACTGCGTACTGCCGAGGCCGTCATTCTCTTCAAACGCCCCGGCGCTGCATGTCAAGGCAGCTCTAGATATGACCATTGCAACGTGGAACATAACTAGCCTGAAGGCCTGGGACAGTGCGTCGTCATCTGTCAAAATCAGGATGATTGCCGCCCTGCTTAGGCATGGGCCAGTGTGTCTCCAGGAAACCAATTGGTCAGCCCGTGAGGTTGAGGCCGCATCAGTCACTTTCCCACGGGCCGCGGTTATCAGTACTCTTGCACAAGGAGAAGGCAGCTCGGGGGTCTCCATATTGGTACCTGGCCCATTTAAGGTCGACCATCAAAGGGAAGTACTTCCGGGTTATGTTCTATCGGTTGAAATTTCGCATTTTGAACACAGATGCGAAATTATAGCCGTCTATGCACATGCTCAAAAAATGCCTGCAGTTGCAACGGCCATTCAACAATACTTGATTGGTCGCAATGCGCAGAACGAGCTCTTTGTTGCTGGAGACTTCAATGGTATGCACGCTAAGCAGCCTGATGCCTGGGATATGATCGTCTCGGAGGGCTTACTCAAACAGGTTTCTCTGCGGGTTGACACATACAGGTCGGGAACGCATGCTTCTTCTCTTGACCTGATCATGCATAATGAGCACGCAGAAGGAGCGAGAGAGCTCAAAAGCAGGGTTTTTTGGCCCAAGCTGCTACCCTGTAGACATGCAGTAGTCACCGTCCGCGCTACAAAAGCCCGCCTCCTTGCCAATGATGTGCGTGCGGTTTTGTATTCGGCCATTCCGACACGCGCTTTCAAGCAGCACGCTTTGCGGCCCACTCCGGCGAGAGGCTCGCATCCTGCGCAACTCCGCCTTCAGCGTATGAAGTGCCTGCTGCCCCAGGAGCCAATGCTGTTTAGACCTGCAGAGTTTATTCCAATTTTGGTGGAAACAAGAGCAACTACCCAGGCCGAGGCGGTTCGCAATGGACAGCTCGGGGCACTGCCCTACTTATTGCGCAGACAACGTTCCAAGCCTAATGCACAAACGTATAAAATCCCTGTAAGTATCCTTAACACTTTCAGATATCTTCTGAGCCACTGTAGATTCTCTACAGATGGCGGCTTTGGGATTCTTTCGAACATTGAGTTACAACAAGTTGTATTGCTCCCTGTAATGGAAGTGGCACAACTTATGCCACCCCCAGTGATCGCAGATGCTAGAAGGATGGGTGCTAAATTGCCGACAAAGCACCCGATGGGATCTTCATCGGTCGACGCTGGGTACGTTTGGCGTCAAACAAGTGCTTCTGCCCTCGGGGCAACCTTGCCAGACATTGGGAGAAGTTGACAAAGCTCTTAGGCATTCGCGAGCTTTCTGGCAGCAGCAGCCACCTGACCACTGCGAAGAGTGGCACGACACACTTCGATATAGACCAGGCAGCTCTGTCAAGTGTTGCATGCCAAATTACGACGACATGATGACCACCTGCTACAAACCCGAAAAAATGTGATCGCAGCCTTGCCAGTTGAATCAACTGTGGCCCGCGTAGCGCCAACACGGTAGCGGTTTGGCAGGAGATGCCCTTAGAGCA